CATGTGAGGCTGTAAATGAAGCAAGCTGCTGAGAGCGTGGGCTCCGTATCAGACCAGTTCAAACCAAGCTCCATCATTTTCTAGTCATGCATCCTCTGTGCCTCTCTCCTCATTTGAACATGTGGGTAATCGTGCCTCCCTAACTGGGAGATAAAACAGAGTGCATAAACACTGAGGGCAAGCGTGCAGGGCCTGGCACACATGAACACTGAATAAATGGAACTATTATTGTATGACTGTCCACAACCGATGAAAACGAGACAGGGGTCAATGCCACTGCTCAGGTGGGTCTGATCCCAAACACCACCAGCACTGACTCCACAGGGGGTGGGGAATGTGCTGCAGGATCCCAGCCCAGAGTAGCTTGGCCCTGCAGTGTCCAAACTTGTCACAGCAGAGGTTACCTGCTTACGAAAACTCCTGGCCAACTCTGGAAAGGGAGAGATCTAGCAACCCTCCAAAGGGCCTTTCCTTTTGGACATGTAGGGGCCTACCTGGGAGCACCCAGGCCAGCAGTACCTCTGGGAGGGCTTGCTTTCAAGGCCGCCATGACACCAGGATGCCAGCTGCCTCAGAAGGGTTCCTCCCTCCCCAGGAGGCAGGTCCGAGGCATCTGGCCAGGAGCAGGGCATTCTGCCATGCTGGGGAAACGGAAGATAGCATTCTGCCTCGCCCACAGCTTCCTGTCCACTGATCGAAGGAGGTGCCCACTGAGATGTGGACACAAAAACTTCCTGACCCATGCAGGGCTTTCAGGATGCAGTGAGAGAGGGCTCATTACGACTGGTGGTGTTGCCTTCAAGGGATGGCCCATGGACTGCCTGAGCAACACCCTACAGCTGTCTTCTGTCCTGTTCCCCCAAGCACCCCAGGGATGGGCTCCAGCACAGTCTGTGTGGTGGCCGCTTAGCAAAGCCTTCAGAAGGCTATGGCAGGGTAGCAGGACAGTGTTTCCTCCTAGAATAACCAACCGTCTGGGCGGATGCAGCAGTCAAGTCCGTCAGCTACGCTGACAGTCACTTTTACAGCACATACAGGCTGGGAACATGGTAGGGGTAAACAGAGATCCCTGTATTCTAGCTTACAACCAGGTAGGGGATACACATGTTAAGTAACCACACCAAAAACCTAATTACAAACTGTGACTAAAGCTGCAGAGCAAGTATAGGGCACCAGGAGAGGACAGAAAGGTGCTGTTAGGGTCCCGAGAGGAGGAGTTTATGGGCCCAACAGGCAGGAAGGGATTGGGGGACGAGATGAAACAGTGAGGACCCAAGGCCCAAGGTGGGGAACTGTGTCCTCCGGAGTGGCCAGATTGCTGCCTGGGCCACCAGAGCAACCAGGCTCCAGGGGCTGCTCCAGGGCTCTGAGATCTGACCAGGAGGAAGGGACTAGCAAGCTCTGCACCAGCCCCTTCACTCTGGGTTTTCGCTATCCTCAGGGGATCCTCTGGGTACCACTCAGCCTTGCCAGGGGCACTCAGAGACAGGTCGCCTCCCTTTCCTCACCATCAGTGATGCGCTCCCTGGATCCCCAGCATGCATTCTTTAATCCCTCTGAGCCTTGGTTTCCCCACTTGGAAAATGAGATCTTGTGAGGCTGAACAGTACACTCCAGAGGTCAGTGTCTACACCAGGACAGGCACTTCAAGAGTAGAGGCTATTATGAGAGAGGCTTTTAAGCAAGTCACCGTGCAGATAAACATCAGCTGTATGAAAGCAAGGCTGTGTTTCGCCCCATCACTTTGGAAAAAGGAGCGCAGAATCACAGCGTGCTGAGAAATGACAACCTAATAAAGAATGCATCAGACACTGCCAGCTGTACCCAAATCCTTTCTCTGCATATTCTTCATTACAGAATTGCCCTGTTATTCAGGGCAGCAGTGAATTAGCTATGCTGTCCCTGTGACCACGTGACTAAGCTCTGATCAATGAGCTGTAGGCAGAAGTGTCAGGATGTGAGAAGAAGCCAATGCAGCGTGTAGACGGACATGGGCCCTCATCCTGCCTCCCTCCTGGCACACAAGACAGAAATAAACTAACTTCCTGTAGTCAATTACTGGTTAATTAATTTCAACTTAGCTACTGACAGGGAATAAAAACAAGCATTAAAAATATATGTTACTGGGGCCGGTGCTGTGACACAACAGGTTGATGCCCTGGCCTGAGGCACCAACATCCCATATGGGCACCAGTTCAAGACCCAGCTGCTCCACTTTCCATCCAGCTCTCTGCTATGGCCTGGGAAAGCAGTAGAAGATGGCCCAAGTCCTTACAATGGGTTGATGCCCTGGCCTGAGGCGCCAGCATCCCATATGGGCACCAGTTCGAGAACCAGCTGCTCCACTTTCCATCCAGCTCTCTGCTATGGCCTGGGAAAGCAGTAGAAGATGGCCCAAGTCCTTGAGCCCCTGCACCCGCGTGGGAGATCCGGAAGAAGCTCCCGGCTCCTGGCTTCAGATCAGTGCAGCTCTGGCCATTGCGGCCAATTGGGGAGTGAACCATCAGATGAAGGACCTTTCTCTCTGCCTCTCCTCTCTTTATGTAACTCTTTCAAATAAATAAATCAATCTTTATTTATTTATTTATTTATTTATTGCCAGGCAGAGTTAGACAGTGAGAGACAGACAGACAGAAACGTCTTCCTTCTGTTGGTTCACTCCCCTAATGGCCGCCACAGCTGGCACTGCACTGATCCGAAGCCAGGAGCTGGGTGCTTCCTCCCAGTCTCCCATGCGGGTTTAGGGACCCAAACACCTGGGCCATCCTCCACTGCCCTCCCAGGCCACAGCAGAGAGCTGGACTGGAAGAGGGGCAACCGGGACAGAATCCGGCGCCCCAACTGGAACTAGAACTCGGCGCCCATATGGGATACTGGCGCCGCAGGCGGATGATTAACCAAGTAAGCCACGGCGCCAACCAATAAATCAATCTTAAAATATATATATATATATATATATATATATAAATCTAGACTTGAAGGCACATAAACTTCTTTCTAAGTGAGCCATAGCCCAGCTACCATCATTTTGGAGTTCCAATCACATGGCTTCCTCCAGACCATACAACACGCCTCAGCCAGTGCAGAGGCTGCAGGCTCACACAGCACACCCTCACAGGCAGGCTGGAGTCTTTCAGGGCTTAAAGCAGACCCAGAGAAGCAGCTAGCAGCCTAGAGTGACACCAGGTCCTGCAATCTCAGTGCTTGTTTCAACATTACCAGCTGGTGACTCACACAGGTGTTAAAGGTGTAGACGACGATGACCACAGTGGAGCACTTACTACCTGGACATGGATGCCATTCCTTCCCTGGGAACTGAATGACAGTGCTCCTCCCCACCAGGCCCTGCACAGACTAGGGCTAAGGCAGGCATTCCAGTTAGTGCAGAACTGGCCTTCTATCAGCTGATAGTGAGTGGGTGAGGGGTGGGAAGGAAAAGCGCCCCACGCAGCCTCTGAAGAAGGCAGAACACTCCATGGCTGGCAGTGCAGGGGACTGCTGTCCTTGGCTGCCAGTTCTAGCACCAGCAGATCTACACCATGGCCGGTCTTCCACTGTGCTGATGGAAGCAGCGCAAGAGGCAGGCCCTCTCAGACAAAACAGACCACTGATGGCTGTGAACCACTCTTTACTCTGATACGATGCCCTGGGAATTCTGAGTACTTTACACCAAGCTGAAGTTGACACAGAAGGGACCACAGGCTGATCGGATTTCCCATCTGTCTGCTCTCCTCCCACACAGCCCTGCTTGCTCCCGCCTGACAGCCACGGCTGGTCCCAAGTGCCACTGTGCCCTCTGTGGGAGGCGTGAGCTGTGGATCACAGGCTAAGCAAGGTGAGAATCTGCACCAGGAGGGGCACAGGCACTAGGTTCCATGCCCGCTGTCCTGCCCAGCCCCTTGACTCTTGTGTCAGTCTTCTCAACACTAAAATGGTGGCAGCAGCCCCTGATTCAGAGTAAAGATGAGGCACAAAAGGTGGGAACAGCACGTAGCTCAGATCCTGTCACCCAGTGTTCAACAAACACAAACAGGGACGAGTACTGTGGTATAGGAGGGCAAGCCACCGCTAGGGATGCCTGCATCCCATATTGCAGTGCTGGTTCTAGTCCTGGCTACTCCAGATTTCTGATCCAGCTTCCTGCTAATGTGCTTGGGAGGCAACAAATGATAACTCAGGTAAGTACTTGCGTTCCTGCAGCCCACGTGGGAATCCTGGATGGAGTTCCTGGCTCCTGTGTGGCCCAGTCCTGGATGTTGTAGGCAGCTGGAGAATGAACCAGCAGACAGATGACCTCTGTCTCTCCACCTTTCAAATAAAGGCATAATTAAAAAAAAAAAAAAAGATTTATTTATTTTATTTGAAAGGCAGAGTTAGAGAGAGGCATAGACACAGAGAGAGAGATTCCATCCCCAAAAGGCCGCAACAGCCGGAGCTGCACTGATCCGAAGCCAGGAGCGTCTACCAGGTCTCCCACATGGGTGCAGGGGCCCAAGGACTTGGGCCATCTTCCACTGCTTTCCCAGGCCACAGCAGAGATGTGGATCAGAAGTGGAGCAGCTGGAACTCGAACCAGCACCCATGCCAGCACTGCAGGTGGCGGCTTTACCCACTGCACCACAACTCTGGCCCCAATGCATGATTTTTTAAAAGATATCAAATGTTTTAAAAACAAACACAAATAGCTGCAGCATTTGCATTCATGGATGTGTGAGCAGAGCATGCTAAAGAGGAAACAGTCAAGAAAAAAGGAAACGGAGAACAAATCTGTTACTCTTGAGCAGAAGCAAAATCAAAAGGCGTAGGGGCACGCACTTGGCGCAGCGGTCAACACACTGCTTGAGGTGAACACATCCCACGTCGGAATGCCTGTGTTTGAGTCTTGGCGCCCAGTTCGTTTCGTGCGAACGCACACTCCGTGAGGGCAGGCGGTGGTTCAAGTACTTGAGTCCCTGCCACTCATGTCAGAGACCTGGATTGAGTTACTTTCTCCCAGGCTTTCTGCAGAGGGTGGGGTGGGGTGGGAGTGAGAGGGAGTGTGAGCCAAAGATGAGAGGCCTCTGTCTCTCTGTGCCTCTCAAACAAACAAAAAGACAGGACTCAAAGTTTGGTTTTGAACTTAAAAACAGTTAAGACTTCTAGGAACTATGATGATGGCAACAGCTACGGTTTGCATCATGCTCAATTCCTGTCAAAGCTCTTGGCAAACCACTGACACTGCCTGCAGCGGCCAGCAGCACAAGCAACGACAGCAGGGTGGGTGGGTGTGACTTTGCTGGAGGCCAGCTGTGCTACCTGTGATGCTGTCTGACTCATAGTTCCCTTCAAGGACATCAGCAGACCCGGGAGCCAAGATTCACGGCAAAGATGTTTATCTGCATCACTGTCTTGCTACTCAGCCAAAAGGACCTTGTTCAATTACTTTGTACAGATAGTACAAAGTAATTGTATTCACTCCTAACAGGGATCTAGATCTGTTTTCATCAACATAGGAAGATGGCCTTGCACAGCAAACACAGCCACAGTGGGATGGTGTGAATCCACTTTGAAAGTGGACATTTTCGGGGCTGGCGCTGTGGCACAGCGGGTTAATGCCCAGGCCTGAAGCGCTGGCATCCCATATGGGCACCAATTCTAGTCCTGGCTGCTCCTCTTCTGATCCGGCTCTCTGCTGTGGCCTGGGAAAGGAGAAGATGGCCCAAGTCCTTGGGCCCCTGCACCCTGCACGGGAGACCCAGAGGAAGTTCCTGGCTCCTGGCTTCAGATCGGCACAGCTCTGGCCATTGTGGCCATCTGGAGAGTGAACCAGTGGATGGAAGACCTTGCTCTCCGTCTCTTTCTCTGTAACTCTTTCAAATAAATAAAATAAATCTTTAACCAAAAAACAAACAAAAAAAAAGTGGACATTTCCTAAGGGCAGTTTCCTCAGGGAGGGAGACTTTGGGGTAGTTTGTTTACATAACACAAGCACATGGAAGCTTTTTATGTGTGTTTCTCATCTGTCTAGGATGGACAGCCCACTGAGTGGTTCTTCTCTGCCAACGCTGTGCTGGTTTTATGTGTATTCCTCTGTATTAGCTCTGCCTAAAAGAGAGAACGCTCCGCACAGCCCTTGCTCTCCTCAGACGGCACACAACCTTGGTATGGGTCTTGGATGAGTCTGGCCTCTCGATCAGATCATCTCCCCGGGGTTGCAGACAGATGGACGGCCTAAATCTATAAGCGTCACCCAGGGTCACATTGGCCTCAGAGACCCTGTCTAGAGAGCCAGCAGAAAGTTACCTGACAGGAGTGTAGGTAATAAAATCCCCACCAGATAACTGATAAAACCAAGAGCTTGCCCGAGGTCACTGGCTGGAGCCAGTGCTGAGTGCACAACCAGACCCACTGGCCAGGCATCCCCACCAGCCCACCCAGGCACGGCGCGCTCAGGAGCTGGCTCCTGGCACAGAGACTGGAGGAAGAACAGACAGGAGGGGAAATGCGGGGCAGACACAGCTGCAACCACAGCTAGTGAGTAAACAAGTCATCTGCACCTGTCCCCAAGCAGAGCCTGGTCACCAAGAGGACAACTAATTTTAGAAATACACGAGTCTTAAGAATCACCACAGAAGTGATCAAAATGGAGACCCCCAAAAAGCAAAAAATCTCTACCCTTGTCTACATTCAGCTGATACAAAATGGACAGTCTTTCAGCTGACTATTTTAACCAGTTCTCTGCTGGGTTAGATCAAGATGTGCCATCTGAATCTTCAAGAAAGCACCAGGCCCTTACCTGCAGCCAAGCCCTGTGGCCACACACACCATGTCCCCATGAGTTTTAATTCAGACATCAGTGCCTCAACTAGCCCAGGGAGAAGGGCTCCGCCTACTGCCAGGCCTTGCCCAAGTTCCCAAATGGAAATCTCTAGGGTCCCCTTTTTTCTTCCACACACCTCAGTGTCATTGTGTACACTTGAACACTAGCGCCCTCTCCTTTCTCTCACAGCAGTGAGGGCTGGGTCTCACCTTGTGACATTTAGATATCTCCCATTACAGGGCATTCTGTCAGTTATCGGAAGAATGTTCTGCTGGCTGAAGAATACTGGCTGCAGTGACCCAAGTCAGGGCCTGTATGGACCCTTAGAGCAGTCCCAGGTAGACTCAGAAAAAAGAAAACACAAAACATGCAGAGTAGTGGTCATCCCTGGGTGAGATTTCGTTACTGCAGACAGCTGATGTTGCAAGAACACTCTAAAAGCACACACAGTAAGGAGCTGTGCTGCAGAGCCCATTAAAAAAAGTCCTGAGAAGATGCAGTCTTGGGCATGGTGGCCTGGGGCATAGAAAAATACATCCGTAACTTGCTCTGTGGTTAACAGCTCCTGCAGCGAGGACACAGCAGTCAACAAAGGTGCGCAGGAGGAATGGAAATGAAAGCAACTGCAAGTGGCAATTTTATATTGCATGACATGAACTGATATACAGAAGTTAAATGACTATCATTCCAAGTCAGCATCTGAACAGAAGCACTTCTGGATCTTGGGAAACTGGGGCTCACGTCATGTGAGGGGTTGCCAGATGTTTGGTCACGTTTACATTTCACTTTGATATCCAGAGACCACCTCTCAGGGCTGGAAGGCCATCAACGATGACAGGATCCCAAGTCTCAGCTGAGACTGATTGAGGCATCAAATGTTTACTAAGCAACCAACAAAGGCAGGCAGCATATCTTGCAAGGTGTCAGAAATCATGGTGGGCTGCTCCATTTCCTGTCCAGCTCCCTGCTGATGGCCTGGGAAAAGCAGCACAAGATGGCCCAAGTGCATGGACCCCTGCACCCATGTGGGAGAGCCCTGGAAGAAGCTCTTGGCTTCGGCCTGGCCCAGCCCTGGCCATTGCAGCCATCTAGAGAGTGAACCAGTGGACAGAAGAGCTCTCCCTCTCTCACTCTCAAATAAATTAATAAATCTCTAAAAAGAAAACAACTGAAGTACAGCACCCAGCCCCCTGCTTTTCCCATGGCGAAGGCCAGGCTGGAGAGGAAAACAGGACACATATGCACCGTCTCCCTGCGATCCTGTGCCTCCCGCAGCTTGCAGGCCATGTGAGCACTCTAAAGGGCCAGCTTTGGAACCTAAGCCACCGTACACACAGTTGAGAGCTCAACTCTGCCTCAGAACAGCATCTCCAGTGCTCAGGGCAGGCAGTGCAGAGACGTGTGCCCCGTGTCTTGGGAGGTGGCCAGAACAGACGCACACCCATGGCCTGGCTCAGGCAGGAATATGGAGAACCCGCATGTCAGGTGCTCTCCTAGGCACTGGGGAAACAGCATCTGTCCAATTCAGCTTGTGTTTGGCAGGGCAGAAGGGAGAGGGGAGGAGTAGAAAATACAGACATCCGTAAAGCACAGAGCACTTCACACGGTGATTTGTGTCACGAAGGAACTCAAAGTAGGGAGGGGAGTGCTGTGAAGCTGCAGTTCTGAACAGGGAAGGTTTCCCGGGCAGGGGTTCTTCCAGCACAGATCTGAAGCAGGTCAGGCAGCAAGCCATGGGCACAGGGAAGTGCAAAGTGCAAAGGCCTGGGCTGTTCCAGGCCAGCCCAGTGGCAGTGGCTGAGCAGAGGGCATGGGGAGAGTGGGAGGAGCTAAGGGCAAGGAGGCGGTGGGCGAGGCTGGGGTGCAGGCCTCTGTAAGAGAAAGATGCTTTCACTCTGAGAGCTGGGCAGCTTCTGGAAGCCTTAGAAGTCAGGTGGCTCCACCAGCCCCCAGCCTCTGAGGAAGTCCTGACATCCAAGAGACGGCTTCTCACAGCAGGGAAACCACCACCAGATGCAGCTCCTCTCTGGCTAACCTGTCTCGGGCCCCAGAGAACTGGGTCAGTGTGGCCACACTCCAGGCAATGCAGTCAGGCACACACACACCTGGAACCTGAGCTTGACCCCCCTGGGGGACACAAAGTAAGGCCTGAGCTCGGGTGATACAGCATGCCCGAGAGCTGAGGAGTGTCACCTGAGGCCTGCTAACACTGAGCCAGGAAGGACTCTTCAGGCTCAACACTGAGGTAGTTTTATTTAGCAAGATCCTTAGTATCCAAGTTTCTTTCTCACCACCTCCTTTTTTAGTGTCTGCCTGTTAGAAAGACTCTTCCCTCCTCGATTCAGCCAGCATGCAACAGACCCTCCTGCAGGCTCCTCATCTCACAGTCCTCGCCCTCGGAGCTGCAGAGCCCCTGAGAAGTCAAGTCACCCCTGAGAAAAACGCAAAAAAGATACTCAGCACCAGGCAGCAGGGGCCAAATGAAACCCTGACAGCGCTGCGGCCCAGAGAAGGGGAGGCTTCAGGGCCTGCAAGAAGGTGCAGGCAAGGAGCTCCAGGCTAGGGAACCAGAGAGCTACGCCCAAAGGCCCAGTCGCTCAGCCAGACTTGCACAACCAGAGGGAAGAGCCGGGGTGTGGGGCACCAGGCAGCACACAGCACACGGCTGGGCAGGGCACGGGCACAGCAGCCTGGCGGACGCTTCTGGGCAGGCTTACTCCCCGTCTCATCACACCTGACAGCCGAGACGCTTTCTACACTTCTCCCTTCTCTTTATCAGTCCTACTTTGGTTCACAAACCTTTCAGACTATGTCCTATGGTGTTCAAGGTTTAAGGAGAAAAGTCTGGATTTGGCCCCATGCTCCAGATCTATGGCGTCCATTCCAGTTCCACTGGACTGCAACCTGTACTTTTCCAAACCACCCATACATACTTTTGATTATGTGAGGTTTAGGATTAAACTCAGCGGACTTCTTTAAAAAAAAAAAAAAAAGTCATTTGTTTTTAGTTATTTGAAAGGCAGAGTGAGAGACAGCAAGAGTGAGAAAGGGACAAAGTGAAAGAGAATTCTTCCATCTGATAGTTTACTTCCCAAATGTCCCCAAAGCCAGGGCTGGGCAAGGCAGAAGCCAAAAGCCCAGGACTCTACACAGGTCTCCCATGTGGGTGGCGGGAACCCAATTACTTGAGCCACCGTCTGCTGCCTGCTCAGGTGCATGCCAGCAGGAAGCTGGATCAGAAGTGGAGCAGCAACTTGAACCCAGGCACTCTGATACGGGATGTGTGTCCCAAGTGGTGTCTAAACTACTCCAAGAAACTCCCGCACTATTCCTAACCTAAGGCCCACTCCCAACAGCCCTTGGGCCAGAGCACAGCCACATCTGAGATGGCTTCCACATCAAAGTGCCTTTGTCTGGGGCTAGTTTTGTGGCACAGCAGGTAAAGCCACCACACGCAACGCTGGCATCCCATATGGGTGCAGTTCGAGTCCTGACTACTCCAGCTTTGACCCAGCTCCCTGCTGATGCCTGAGGAAGCAGCAGAAAATGGCCCAAGTGTTTGGGCCCCTGCCACCCATGGGTGGGAACCTGGATGAAGCTCCTTTGGCCTGGCTGCTGCAGCCATCTGGAGAATGAACCAGTGGATAGAAGATCTCTCTGTGCCTCTCACTCTCTTTCAAATAATAAACCAAAAAAAGAGAGAGAGAAATTTGTTCATGGTTAAAAATCCAGATATGAAAAGACCATAGCCAACTGCACAGAGCCGTAATCACAGCAGGGCTGGGAGAGCCCGCAGTTCTGTTGTCCGCTATCCGTTCAAGCCATTTGTTTCAGAACTAGGTGTGACACCCTGCTCTGCCGTTATCTGGCACTCTTGGGCAAATCACTTAGAAACTCTGGCTGCTTCCACAGCTGTACCACCACCTCCCTGGGTGACAGGTTTTAGTAAGGTACAAAAAATGGCCACAAAATGTTAAAAATCTCAATCCTGTCTGCTTCCCTAACTTGTAAGGCTACTGTTCTTAATGTTTATCAGCGCTATGAAACCTGGTCCACTTCCTTCCAGAAGCAGTAGGAGTGAGCATTCTCCTCACACCCAACCCAAATCAATAAACACCCGCATACCCTCCCTAACTGTGCCTGCTCTGGCCTCCTCGTCTTGAAGGAGAAGCCCAGACACTGCAATTAACACTTCTGGGCACAGGCACAGCTTCTACTGAACCCTTGACACCTCCTTGCAGTCACACTCAGTGGTGCTGGGTCATCCAATGGACAGACCAATCAGGGGGTCAGTGCACCCACAAAACAGCAGCACTGAACAGGTAACACGAAATGGTTTCTGGAAAAATGATCCAACACTACAAAAACATCACAACTGCCTTCATGGAAAAAACCAGAATGTTATTGAACCTCTTTACCCTGTACTTCAAAGGCTTCATGTTTTTACTGCATTTAATGTCAGAGGACCCTCATCTTTTTAAATTTATTTATTTGAGAGACAGAGTTACAGACAGTGAGAGGGAGAGACAGAGAGAAAGGTCTTCCTTCTGCTGGTTCACTCCCCAAATGGCCACAACAGCCAGAGCTGCGCCAATCCAAAGCCAGGAGCCTCTTCTGGGTGTCCCACACAGGTCCAAGGGCCCTAGTGCTTGGGCCATCTTCTACTGCTTTCCTGGCCACCGCAGAGAGCTGGATCAGAAGAGCAGCCGGGACTAGAACCAGCACCATGTGGGATGCCTGCGCTGCAGGTGGAGGAATAACCTACTGTACCGACCCTCCTCTTCTTAGCACTGAGAGCACAAAGAGGTCTTCCTCTGGCCAAAGTACTGTCCTTCGCCTATCACAGATGTAGTGAGCAAGGCTCTGGAAGGCAACTACCTGTTACCCGGCTTGGCAGGGGCAGAGAAAAGACCTCCAACTTGGTCTGTCAACTTCCAGGGTAGGCAAGTGCTGGCTCCAAGACTGCGTCACCATCACCAGAGCACTGCCTGATGATCACAGAGCAGGGGCAGCAGTGAGCAGACCAGCCACCCACAGGCTCAGGACTGGCCAGACAGCCATCTCCCCGCGCGGTGGCCCTCTGGAGGGGGAAGGGGTTCTGCTGCAGGCCTGGAGCCGAGCACCCCCCTTCCTCTGCAGCACTGTATCGCAACGCAGACTGGCTCTGGGAGAATCCTGACTGCAGAGACAGATGGGGACACAAGAAATCTGTCACCAAGGCCGGCCCTTTTCTCCCCACTGAAGGCCAATGTCCTGTGCAGAACTGCCCCCAAACGCTGCCTTCTCACCAGCACATCCTCCACACAGCCGGCAGACATCAGTGTCAACACCACCTCTCCCTGTGTCCTCTGAATGCTTCTGCAAGTGCAGACCAAACGTCACAAGGCCTGTTTCTTCTCTCAGACACATGAATGGAGCAAGGGGTCAGAGTTTGACGTTATGGAACAAACTACTGGGGTCAGGAGACTCCGAGCCATGATCTCCAACTCATCAGCACCATGAGCTGGCCGGCTGTGAGACAGCCATTTCCCTAGAGCTAGCACGCAGCAGACCTGCAAGTTCAAACCGGGGAAACTTACCCGATAAAGAGCTGGCTCAAGGCATGCAAACTGACTCACTTCCGTCATTCTCAGCCTGCTGGTAGTCTGGCCTTTAGGACACATTCCATCCACTCCCTCTCAAAACAGTGTTTCCTGAAGTACTGTTCACTCGTACCGAGTTTCTGCTCTTAGGATAATTCTAGAACCGTGGTTGGTTGTTTTTTATCCTCGTAAGAGCACATGCAATACCCATTCATCCTATGGAAAAATCTCCAAACCTCCTCAGATCCTCAGGGCTAGGAGACAGACTTTCAAGTACCTAGGACCTCTGTTTGTTGCAAATCAGCAAGCGAGAGGAATTCTTGGTAATCACATGCATGCTTAACTCTCTGGTGGGGGAGCACACTGATGTCTCCAACCCACTTTGACAGGTACAAGCAAGTGCACCAAAATAAACAGACCACGTAACAGATCTGTTACACAGACCTGTGGTAAAGCACAGGCATCCGCTGCAGAATTCCCGCAACTTTTCCTTATGTTCCGAATGTTTCGTAACCAGATGTGCTTGGGGAGAAGTCATCTGAGCCAACGAGTGACTGAACACCTCCCCCGTTAGGGGCAGGCAGCACACAGGCCTGGCCCGCCTCTCCTCTCCCAACTCCCAGGTGAACCCCAAGGGGAGACGCTTCGCACCACGGAGAGCGCTGCCATTTCCCTGGGCACTGCGCTGCCCGGCATCAGGCGCCAGATACCTATAATCCCTGAGGTCTCCTGCCCCAGGGCCCTCCACGCTGTCGGCCCAAGTGTGCCTGAGAGTATCCAGGGAGCTTATTAAAAGCAAATCCCGGGCCACGTCTGATAACTACTGCATCACAATCTGGGGCGGGGGGGGGGGGAGTCCCAGGAACCTGTCGGTTTAACAAGGGCCCCAGGCGGGCCTGACGCAGACGACCCTCAGCTCGCGTCAGCACCTACAGCCGCTCTCCCCATCCCACCTGACACCTGTTGAGAGGCCCCCGAGGGACCCTCTCCACCAAGCTCCGGACGGCCGAACACCAGGCCGGACCAAGCCACCGCCTCCCCAGCGCGGCGCACTTAGCCACGGCCCCGACCTGCACACGCGGTTAGGCCGGGCCGGGGAGGGACTGCCAAGGTCACCTGCGCGGCCCGGCACAGCTGCTCGGCTCGGGGACCCTCCTCCCTACCCCCTTTCCTCGAGGACACAGCGCCCGCTGCCTCCTCCCCCTCCGTCTCCTGCTAAAAACGCGAGGGTATTTTCCCACGACACTCCCCGACAAAATGCGTGGAGGCGGGACAAGCACCCTAGAGTCAGCAGCCCACCACCCAGGGGCCAGGCCCGCTCGCGGCCCGGGGTACGGGGGGCTGCCCCCGAAGCCCAGCCGCCGCAGACACCGAGACCCCAGGGCCGCCCGGGGGCAAGGGCCCAGCTACGCAGCGCCAGGAACCCGTTACCTCCAGAGCCCGCAGCCGAGTTCAGCCGAGCGCGGAGACCCGCCCAGGTCTTGCGGGCGTTCCGAGCAGCCCCTCGACCCGCGGTCTGCGCGCGCCGCCCCCGCCCGCCTGGATTCTGGGAGGCGCAGTCCGCACGCGCGCTCCCGCAGCGTTCGTCGGGGGCGGCGGAACTACGACGCCCGGCATGCACCGCGCGGCCCGGGGGGGGGAGCGCGGCCGCCGAGGTCGTCCCTCCGCCCGAGGGGCGCGACGCCCAGCCCCCCTGCCTACAGGTCCAGGCGGCGGGGTCGGGGGCGGAGGTGTCCCCGCCGAACGCGTCGAGGCGACTCACCGTCTCCTGCGGCCCCACGGCGGTGGCCGCAGCCCCGGGAGCGGCCGCCTCAGCAGCGGCTGTCGCCACAGGAGCCGGGTAGGCTTTGGAGCGGCGCCGAGGCCCGCGGCGGGGGGCGGGGCGGGGGCGGAGCGCGGCCCGTGACGCGCGCTGGTGACGTCAGCGGGGCGGAGCGCAGGCTGAGCGCGTCGGGGGTCCAGGCGGGCGTCGGGGGAGCCGGGAAGACGCCCCGGCTTAGCCCTGCCTCCGCCTCCCGCCGGCTGCGCGGAGGGCGTCGGGTTACAGGGCGCGCCTGCCTTTTTCCTGGGCCGCGTTCGTTCCTTTGCACAAATAGTGACGGCGCCGGCGGCGAGGCTGTGGCAGAGCGAGGCGGGCATCCCGCGTGGGCGCTGGTTCGAGTCCCGGCTGCTCCACTTCCCGTGCAGCTCCCTGCTCACGAGCCCGGCAAAGCAGCGGAGGACGGCCCCAGTGTCTGGGCCGCCGCCACCCTCGAGGGAGATGAGAAAGGCGCTCCTGGCCTTGGCCTGGCCCAGTGCGGGCCGTCGTGGCCATCTGGGACGTGAACCAGCGAATGGAAGATCTCTCTCTCTCTCTCTCTCTCTCACTGTGACTCTTTCAAATAAAACAAAACTTGAAAGAAGGGTGTCCAGAGCCGAGGGAAGGGGCGTGGCAGACCGGACAGGAGCTGGAGATGAGTGCGGTGCTGGAGGAGGCTGGCCTTGCAGGCCGCTGTGGGGAGTGCGGATTTTAAAATCCAGCAGTGGAGCCCAGAGTCCTCGCAGACTCTGAAGCGGGATAGCGATCTGTCTGTCTTATTCTCAGCTTTCCTATTCGCATTCTGAAGTCTCAGCGCCTGGGGCGCCCTGAGGCCCCAGAGGCAGCCCTGCCCATAAGCGTGCTTTGTGCCACGTTTTCAACCTCTGCTTTCCGCTGGTGATTTTGCACCTGCAGTGCTGAAGTGAGGTCTGGTGTTGTCAGGAGGACTTGGGCTTGGGTTCGGCTGCAGTGAGTCAGCAGGAAGATGCCTTGAAACACAAACACTGATAAGGCAATGTTATGAAAAACTTGGGCAGAAAAAAGAGGCAATTAGGAAGCTGGGAGCTGAGCACAAATGTAATTAAGAATATTTTAGGGCCCAGTGTTTAGCGTAGCAGTTAAGACACTACTGGCTCCTGGCTTGGAGCCCTTGTCCATTTCGGGGGTGAATCAACAGAAAGAAGACCTTTCTCTCTCTCTGCCTCTCACTATTTGTAACTCTACCTCTCAAGTGAATAAATAAAATCTTAAAAAAAAAAAAAAAAAAGACACTACTTAGGATGCCCGTATCAGAGCCCCTGGGCTGGAATCCGCTTACTGCTAATGTACGCCCTGGGAGACAACAGGTGAGGGTTAAGGTATCTGCCACCCTGCCACCCATGTGAGAGACCCAGGCTGAGTTCCCGGCTTCTGGCTTCAGCCTGGCTCAGTCCCGGCTGTTACAGGGGCATTGGGGAAAATATCCTTCTGTCTCTGTCTCTTGCCCTGTGTGCCTGTCTCTCTCTGCCTTTCAAATAAATAAAATAGTCTTAAAACATTAAAAAATTGGGGCTGGCGCTGTGACACAGCGGGTTAACACCCTGGCCTGAAGCAGCAGCATTCCATATAGGCGCCAGTTCGAGTCCTAGCTGCTCCACTTCTGATCCAGCTCTCTGCTATGGCCTGGAAAAGCACCCGCGTGGGAGACTTGGAGGAGGCTCCTGGCTCATGGCTTCAGATCAGTGCACCTCTGGCTGTTGCAGCCAATTGGGGAGTGAACCATTGGAATTAAGACCTCTCTCTCTCTCTCTCTCTCTCTCTCTCTCTCTCTCTGCCTCTCCTCTGTGTAACTCTGACTTTCAAATAAATAAATGTTAAAAAAATTAAAAAATTTTTACCAGTCATGTTTGAAAAGTATATAAGAGGAAAGTAATTTTAATAATATTCTAGAAAGTCGGCGCCGCGGCTCACTAGGCTAATCCTCCGCCTTGCGGCACCGGCACACCGGGTTCTAGTCCCGATCAGGGTGCTGGATTCTGTCCCGGTTGCCCCTCTTCCAGGCCAGCTCTCTGCTGTGGCCCGGGAGTGCAGTGGAGGATGGCCCAAGTGCTTGGGCCCTGCACCCCATGGGAGACCAGGGTAAGTACCTGGCTCCTGCCTTCGGATCAGCATGGTGCGCCGGCCGCAGCGCCGCGGCGGCCATTGGAGGGTGAACCAATGGCAAAAGGAAGACCTTTCTCTCTGTCTCTCTCTCTCACTGTCCACTCTGCCTGTCAAAAAATTAAAATAAATAAATAAATAAAATAAAGTTAAAAAATAAATAAATAAAAATAATAATATTCTAGAGTACTTCAAAAAGTTAATGGAACATGAAGTTAAAATACAGCTTTATGCAAAAGAATTTTGAAATCCATTCATAGTTGTTTTATAATACCCCTTTTTCCTTAATTTTTAAAGACCCTTGTATGCATGAGTTTCAAGAATTTTGCATGTGGCCAGCGCTGTGGCTCACTTGGCTAATCCTCTGCCTGCGGCGCCGGCACCCCGGGTTCTAGTCCTGGTTGGGGCGCCGGGTACTAGCCCGGTTGCTCCTCTTCCAGTCCAGCTCTCTGCTGTGGCCCGGGAGGGCAGTAGAGGATGGCCCAGGTGCTTGGGTCCCTGCACCCGCATGGGAGACCGGGAGGAAGTACCCGGCTCCTGGCTTTGGATCAGCACAGCGCTGGCCGTGGCGGCCATTAGGGGAATGAACCAATGGAAGGAAGACCTTTCTCTGTCTCTCTCTGTCTATAACTCTACCTGTCAAAAATAAATAATTTTTGCATTGAAATAAACTTATCTTTTAAGTCTATTTTCCACAAACTTCTTTATGTACTCATATTTAATCCAATATATACAAGATAATATTTTAATATTTAATCATATGAAAATATAAATGATACTTTTTTAAAACACTAAGTCTTCAAAATCCAGTATGTATTTTATACTTACAGCACATCTCAATTTGGACTAGCCACAGGTGTAGAGCATTTATTCATATTTACTTATTCAACCTGGCAAGGTCTTATTCTGTGTCTAAAATACACAGACTGGAACAAAGCTCCATCTTTGGTCTCATGTGCGCACAGTGCAGCTAGGGAGTCAGTATAACAGAGTTGAAGATGTCAGACAGTGCGTTGGGAATCCAGGGGAGGCAGTAACCAGACGAGGAAGGCTCCTGAGAGGAAATGGACATTTGAACTGGGGCTTGAGGGCTGTGTAGGAGCCCCTAGGGTGCGAGAAGGGACTTGGGGAGTTCCAAGCAGAGAGAGCTACTAGTGCGCAGTTGTAGAGGAACAAAATGCACAGTGTCTGGGGAAATGCAGGTAGTGCTGTGTGGCTGGAAGGTGGAATATGGAATTGGGGGGAGAGCATGAGGAAAGCTGAGGGCTTGTAGACCAGCCTATGAACTAGAAATTATCCTGCTGGGGCCCTGCCATGGGCACAGCCGGTTAAGCCACTGCCGGCAACCCTGGCATCCCATATCAGAGTGGGTTCAAGTCATCTGCTCTGCTTCCAGCTGGTGCACCTGGGAAGTCGTCAGAAGATGGCCCACGTGATTGGGCCCCTCCTGCTCATGGAGGAGACCCAGATGGAGTTCCTGGCTCCTGGCTTCAGCCTGGCCAGTCCCAGCTGTTGCAGCCATCTGGGGAGTGAACCAGTGGATGGGAGATCTGTTTCCCTCTGTCTCCTCCTCCGCTCTTTTTCTGTAACTCTGCCTTTCAAATAAATACTTAAAAATTAAATAAGGGCGGGCGCCGCGGCTCACTAAGCTAATCCTCCGCCTTGCGGCGCCGGCACACCGGGTTCTAGTCCCGGTCGGGGCGCCGGATTCTGTCCCGGTTGCCCCTCTTCCAGGCCAGCTCTCTGCTGTGGCCCGGGAGTGCAGTGGAGGATGGCCCAAGTGCTTGGGCCCTGCACCCCATGAGAGACCAGGATAAGTACCTGGCTTCTGCCATCGGATCAGTGCGGTGTGCTGGCCGCAGCGCGCCGGCCGCGGCGGCCATTGGAGGGTGAACCAACGGCAAAGGAAGACCTTCCTCTCTGTCTCTCTCTCTCACTGTCCACTCTGCCTGTCAAAATAAATAAATAAATAAATAAAAAGTAATTTATCCTGTTCATTTGGATGTTAGTGTTGATAATTTTGTAAAGAACCTTTTAGAAATATTGTTGAGTTTTGTTAATTTTTTAAACAATTATTCAGGTTTTTAAAAATTTATTTTGAGAGGCAGCGATTCAAGGAGACAGATCACTCCTGTGTATCATTTCACTCCCCAAGTGCTTAGAACAGTTAGGGCTGAGCCAAGCCCAAGCCAGGAGCTAAGAACTCAATCCAGGTCTCCCATCTGAGTGATAGGAACCCAAGTACTTGAAGTATCACTTAGTGCCTCCTAGGGTACCACTAACAGGGAGCTGGAATCAAGGACAGAGCCAGGACTTGAACCTGGGTACTATGATGTGGGACATGGACATTCAACTGGCAACTTAACTTCTAGGCCAGACACCTGCCCTGAGAATTTTGAGCTGAGTCATATTATCGGATTTGTGTTTTAGACAAATTACTGGAAGTGTGAAGGGGTAGAAATTTGAGGCAGAGCTCTCTGCTACTGTGCCTGGGAAAGCAGTGGAAGGTGGCCCAAGAAGTTGGGCCTCTGCCACCCACATGAGAGACCTGGATAAAGCTCCTGGCTCCTGGCTTTGGCCTGGCCCAGCCCTGGTTCTTGCTGCCATTTGGGGAGTGAACCAGCAGATGAAAGATCTCTTGCTCTCTCTCTGTAACTCTACCTTTGAAATAAATAAAAAATAAATCTTTTTTTTTAAAAAAAGGAAATTAGAAGCAGGAAGACCTTTTTAAGGAGGGAAGGGGCTCTATGATGAATCCAGACTAGAGACTTTCAGAGAGGAGGGAGGGCAAAGATGGCCCAGAGAGAAGTCGGGCAGCATGGGGCCTGCAGACCTGAACAGGCCAGGCCTTGGGCGAAACTTGACTGAAACCTCCAGAGTCCACTGGGTAGTGGAGGGTTTGA